AATTCTTTATGCATTGAAAGTTTTGATAGAATTTTGTACTCCTGCCTTGAAATAAACATAGTGCTGGTGGTTAATGTTTCCAGTCAACTTTGTTACTTGTATCAGCTGAGGGTCAACTGTGTTACACCTCATTTTTATTCAAATTTATTCAAATTTAAAATACATAAAATGGTGTTTCTGACTTTTGCAGGACATTACATAAGTATTAAAATCACCTGTATGGTGTTTTATAGTACAAAAAAATGTCTGTAATGACAGTGCTGTACATATCACATGTATATCTGAGAAAAAAATCAATTCTTAATTATTTTCAAAACATCATTGTATATATGGCACAATAGACTCATTAGCCCTTAAAATTGCCTTACTTGAAGTGCAGGATTTAATCAAATGACTGTAATCACATACAGTTTGTCTGTAACATAGTGACCAAAATGATTAGTGAAAACATCCTTTTGCTTAAAAAAAATTAAACAAATATTTAATGTTTAAGTTTTGCAACTAGTTAATATGCTACACTGAAGGAGTATACTAATTTTAACCACTGATCCTTCTTATGAGAGAGAATTGTGAAATGTACCCCAAATTATAGACTGACCCAGTAGGAGTCGAGAATTGGAGTTGTGATTTCAGCTGAGGCTGTCGTAAGACATATATTGACTTGGTCTTAGCAGACAGGTTAACAAATACATTAAGAAAGTTATAACAAAGTTTTTGTAGAATAACAATTTATCTAAAGGCAATGAAAAGGTAAAATAATATGGGGGAAACGCACATTTCAGAAGATTAAATGGCGCTGCAGTTTGTCCTAAAATGATTTTGTGAATCTATCCCTATGGTCTAAAACTCAGGGTCCTATACCATGTAAATCACAGCATCCTATGATATAGATGCTGAATACTCATTTAAATGATAGATTTTGCAGCAGAACGTTCCTACAGCTCTGAATAGTTTAAACGCCACCCATGCTGAGCCACACTCAAATGCTTGCATATGCGTCTGCATCAGACCTGCATGAATATTCAATGAACATATTTGGGATACGCACAGCTGCATGTTTATACGTGACTCATGCTGTCTCTCTGTATGTTCCTCAGAGGTTTGATCATGTATCAAAAGAGCCTCAAAACTCTTTCTAGACTCCTTCAAACCACATGCAGAAAAAAAGCTGTCCGTAATACAAGCGCAACCCCAAGTAGACACGGACAAGTTATGCAAGCATGCGACCAGATACAGTCGTCCAACCTCAACCTTTACATAGCGCTCATACTAAAGCAATAAGCCTTGAGGGGTCGTGCGCTACTGCGAGTTTATCACGACGCGAAGCAGAGTAAAACTCCCTTCCCTGGTCTCAAGTGGTTTGTTGCATTTATAAAATGGTGACCAACATGAAATATGATAAAATGCACAATTTTCAGAACATAACTTGAGCTATTATTAGTAATAATCGACATAAACAAGTATTCCGCTAAGAAATGTAGTTCCTTTAGAGTTTGGTATCGTTGCCAAGCAACCATGGACGCTGAATGAGGAGATCACTCGGTCACTCATCGCTGTATATTGCAGACATTTCATGATTTTTTTTTCATGATTTTTTTCAATTTTGTCATATAACAATGATCATGTAATAATACAGCACTGTGTAATGCAAAACTTTTCCTTTATAAGTACATTTTGGTCACCAAATTACCACCACGAGTCTTATTTAGCACCAATCCAGCAGCGCCCTCTTCTCGTGCTGGGGCTGAATCTCAAATGGCTCCCTGCTCCCTACATAGTGCACTATGTTGGAATTTAAATACTGGATCCTGAACCCCAACGGAGCAAAATATAGCTAAAAAAATATAGTCATTTGGGACTCAGACACATCCATACTCGATGATGCACTATTTGACTGTAGAGGCTAGAATTTCTAAACTTTAATAGCTAGCACACTATTTAGGGAGTACAAAGCCGTTTGGGAGTGTGACGTGACTTCTGACTGAAACACGGACATTTGAGGTGCGTGAGACATTCAAGTGACATTTTTAGACTTTTATACTGCCTTTTCACAGTTAATCATACTGATACTGTAAGTGCTTTAATTCAAGCCTGTGATATTAATGATTGAGTTGTTTAGGCTGTTTGCTATCTTTTAACCTGTTAGCTAGCTGAACAGTCTAGTTAAGATCATAAGTTACCAGCTGCTCAGTTTAAACAAAATCCACGTTCTTACTGCATCAATATACTCGGTGGTCCATGCGAGCAGCGTAAGAGTCATAGATAATTTCAATAACAGCACAATAACAGCACAAGTGGCGCAGTGATACAGAGTTCAGTTGTTGTGAGAAGGTCATAGGTGTGCATATATCATGGATTTTTCAATGGCTTTGAAGTTTTTTCTTAAATGTGTTCTTGAGAAAGGTCCTAAGAAAAAGTCTACATCAGATTCATGACATGTTTTTTTTAGATTTTTGCTAATATTTTGAATGAAAGATTAAAAAAAAAATTATTTAACACTTATTTTGCTCATGATTACCAGTATTTGTGGGGGGCACTGTATCTTTGGCCAGGACTGGAAAAGAGGTTAAATAAATAATAATAAAAATAAATAAGATAAATAAATAAATTATCCAGATCCTCTCATTTTAAATATTTAAAGAGATGTATCTTCTCAAATCATCAGTTTTAACTTCTATTTAGTTTCCTAAACCCTCTAATTTAAACCACTACAGGATATTTACCTAGCCAAATCTGCTCTTATCCAAAAGAGATCAAACTGTCCTCAGTTTTGGCCATTACATGATGAGCAGATGAGAAAAGTACAGTAGTAAAATAATACACTGAAAAAATTGTTTTGAGTTACGTCAGCTGCACTTTGTACAGTAGAATCAATGAAAGTCTTGTATTTAACTTGCTGGACTTGCAAAACGTCGACCAAACGTATGAACTGACAAGACACATTTGAAAAGTTTAACACCTTGTGCTGTCGACAACTGGCCTGAAGGGAATATTATTAGAGGTTTTTGGCGCGTTGCATGGTTGTGAGTGAAGTGAGAGACGGATGGTTTTGTTTCACGGTTTGGCTCCTCGGCGCTGTCACAGTCCTGCTGTTCTCGCCGCCAGCCTGTCAGACCCCTCTCACATCAGACCCCAGCCTGCCAACGGCAGAGTGACAACTGCACTGCCGCATGGTGCCTCTGGGCAGCAGCAGTGAGCCCAGAGAGATTGTCTTGATTGCTGGTTCCCAATTTTGGTCCTGAAGTTCTCCTGTCCTGCATATTTTGGTGTTTTCTTGCTGTAACATGCAGTTCTCTATGAAAGTAGTTAAGCAATAGATTGGTAGTGCCAAGCGTCAGCTAGAGGGCTGTAAAGCCTGGTAATTCAAATATATGCCCATACCTGACTTTGCCTTCCTTCAGAGTTAAATTGTATCTCAGCCTTTTCTTTCAAGGTCTTCAGGAGACGCTAGGAAGCTAGATGTTTGTAAGGTTGACGACCAGTGTGGTAAATGAGAAGGGTCTGACTGCAGAGCCGCAGATTTACACCCGCAGTTTCACTCCAGTAGTTTCAGGCCAGGAATGCATGCGCAGTAGGACAGCATGATTGTGCCATATAGACAGTCCTTATAGGAAAGTTCAGCGTTACAAGCGTCACATTCATATTTCAACCAGTGGCCGGTCTCCTCATTTATAATGTCTCTATTGTAAACGGTGTTTGTGCTGATTGTATGTGTTGCCATGTATATTATCATTCAGGAAGGGAGACCGCTGACAATATACAAATCAACCATCGGTAACTGGTTAAACCATAAGCCAAAACACATTACAAAACCATCAGAAACCAAAAGAAACACTTCATGGTTTCTGTGGGCCTTTTCAACAGGGATACGTTCAAAAACAAAAAAAAGTTTGTTTTAGACTAAAGTTTAATGTTATGCTCAGCTTAAGCCTGCTTGAGGTAAAATTCTATTCCTGCACACGTAATGCAAGTGTGCACATAAAGCCCCCATATTAAGGGTAGGTTAACTGAACTATGTGTCTAGATAATTAGTAATAAACCCGTTAGCTTGTTTAAACCAAACTTTGTTTTAGCCTAAAGTATAAAATATAACGTTAGCCCAACGCAAAGTTTTTTGCAAATTTATTGGAAACTCACATAAAATGACTGAAATGTTGATTAGCCTACAACTTGCAAACAAAACTGTGAACTTGAAAAAACAAAACAAAACTGTGGCTCTGCGGCTCTCCAGACAGATATTATTGCTGTAGATTGATGCAGCAGCTGCACATTTTAGTATTTTCCGCTTTTTTCTAAAACACCTTTTCCAGGTCTTCAATTCAAAACAGGCTGTATTTCGCTGTTGTCAAAACAAAACTTCCAAAATCTCCAAAATGATAACTTTTTAAGAGAAGAAAAAAACTTTATTTTTAATGTAAGTCAATGGAACCAAATGTTTTCCAAGTAATTTTTGGGCATTTCTTTTGGTCCATTCATCATGAAATTTACACACAGTGTGAAGGACCACAGGCATTTTCAAATTGTGTCAAAAACTGAAAAACGACAAAAATGGAGAGACAAGGTTTTGTTCCGAAAACAGCGATTTGTTGCTTAGTTTCCATATAAGGACTTGGGAGTGATGATACGTTGTGAATGTTAGCAGTGTTTATGTACTACATCAAAGTCTTTTATTACAAAAATTAAAGAAGAGTTAATGATTTTGTCATTTAAAGCAAGTACGCTGTCCTGCACCATTGCATTCTAGAACTAGAGACTGAGATGTGCACTTTATTTTTTGATGCACAGTTTTTCTCGTCATATTATTTATTTATTATTTTTACTTTTCACTGTTTGAAAAGTGAAAATAATAAAAAAATGAAAATTACTTTTTGTTACTGTTACAGGAATGTGGAATTTAAAAGAACTGCTTCTGGTCACAAGATTCAAATCAGGTTTACTCAGCAATGGTATGTGTGTTTTCCATAGTAATAATCAATTCACGTGTGAGTTTTGTGTTACAGAGACTCCCCTCACACTGGCTGTGCAGTGTGAGCCAGGGGCCGGGGAGGTGATCAGGGCCCTCGTGATGGGAGGAGCGCACATCGACTTCAGGGCCAAAGACGGCCTCACATCTCTGCACAAGGCCGTCCGAGCCCACGCACACACCGCCCTGCTGGTAAGAACACACACACTTTGGGCGCACTGCTCTCTGTCCCTGCCCCGGGGAAGTTGCACACTGCATATTTTCGTTTTTCCCCACAACACACTTAACTCAGCTCATGAAGGCAAGACAAGACAAGGCAAGGTCATTTATAAAGCACCTTTAATATAATGAAATTATTTAACCACGTGTACCCAACAAGCCCAGTATTGGGCCCCAAAAAGAATGAAAGCCGATTGTTTTAATCTGTGGCCGAAGGAGCTACAGTTGAACTGGAGCTTTCTGTGTGCTACCATTTATTTCTGTCACTGTATAAAATATGCACAAGGATTCCTTTCTCGTTGGGTGCACCATGTTTTCCAGTAAGTGCATGAGCTCATTCAGACCCCAGTTTAAATCGGTAAGGGCTTTTATTACTGATTTGTTTAATCAAAGTAACCATAAGACAGAATAAGGTGTGACCCACTACACCACACGTGTCGGGCTCCAGTCCTCGAGGGCCAAAATACTGCAGACTTCAGCACACTGCCTCATTAAACACACCTGATAAAGCTCATCAGCTACTAAGGCCTTCATGCACTGAATTTAGAGCGTTAGATGAAGGTAAACGCTAATATCCACAGCACTTTGGTCCTGAAGGTCCCTAGTCTGACATGCCAGACCTACGCCGTCACACTGTGGTCCTGTGCTTTATTTATGTTACACACCCACACACACACACACATATATATATATATATATATATATATATATATATATATATATATATATACATATTTAGTAGTGGTAGTGGTGCTATCATTTCATATTCAGTGTGTTAGCTAGAGGGCCTACCACCTACCAAATAAATAAATAATAATAATTTTTTGGGGGGAGATCAAAGGTATGATGGCCATTAAAAGTGTACAAAAGCAAGATCCCAGATAAAAATGAAGACTGCTCTGCCAATATACAAAATTTTTCCAAAGACAGAAATGGTCACATGTATAACCAGCTACATGTTACTGCTATAAGAAAAATAATAAGCAAAACACTGTGTGTACATAGATGTATTATGCATGCATACTCGTACATAGTGGTTAAACTTTGATTAAAGATTATAATGTAAGCTATAAAGATTATAATGTAAGCTATAAAGATTATAATGTAAGCTATAAAGGTTAGAATGTAAGCTATAACTCAAAGTGCAGCACTTGCGATCTGCAGTTGCGCTCTTTGAAACTGTGATTTCGATATAAAGCATTGCAGCCCTAGTATTAAGAACTGTCAGCAAACTTCTTTGTGGTAAATTAGAAAATTACATATTTTACACGGTCAGTCTGAGCAACCGTTATCCAAGTTTCCTCTCACACTCTCCTGTGGCAGACTCTACTGTCTCTGGGAGCATCTCCGGACTACAAGGACCGACGTGGGCTGACGCCGCTTTACCACACTGTGCTGACAGGGGGCGACACCTCCTGCTGCGAAACACTTCTCTATCACAGAGCCAAGTTGGGGCTCCGGGATGAAAATGGCTGGGACGAGACACATCAGGTACCTGCTTTGTGTGTGTGTGTGTGCACCTGTATGTGTGTGTGTGTTTTACTCATAACGTATGTCTCTGAGTGTTAATGTGCATGGACCTACGTCTCTGTTAAGGCCATTCGGCATGGGGTCTCACTCTTATTCTGTCTCTCTGGCTGTCTCTCTGCCTGTCTCCCTCTCTCTCCACCATCCCTCCATCCTCCCAGCCTCTCAGTCACTCCATCACTCCACGTGGAGAAGAAAGCGGAAGAGGTACACAAGCATCCTCTCTTTCTTCATATCCATTTTCACCAGGCTATGTCTGTGTGTGGGTTTTGCATGTCCTTGCTGTCATGAGAAAGCCTCCGAAACAGAAAGCTTTTGGCTCAAATAATAGGAGTGTAACGATGCATATTTATTCAGGATTGGTATGTTTTTTATTCTGAAGATGTAGTTTGATATTCAATAACAAATCAGCCCTCGAAATCACAAAACCTACAATTTAAGAGTCATTTTCTACAATTAAATCACAAAAAATGGAAGTACTGATCGTTGGTACAAAAACTCAGAGAAAGCTGCTTTATGAGCAACTTGGTTCTTTAGCTTCATATACCAAACCTGAAGTAGGAAACCTGGGTGTGATCTTAGATACTGAGCTCTGTTTTATCTGCATGTAAACACAGTCACTAAAGTAGCTTTCTGTCATTTGAGAAATGTCACCAAAGTTTGGCCTTTTCTTTCTCAGAGTGACACAGAGAAACTTGTTCATGCATTTGTTACAAGCATGTTGATCACTGTAATGATCTTCTTACTGAACTTCCTAAGAAAACAATACATCCCTTACAACTCGTGCAAAATGCAGCAGCACGGATCCTAACAAAAACAAAACAGAGAGATCACATCACGCCCGCTTAGATAAAACTGTATAAGACTGTCTGTATCTTTCAGATTTTAGATTCTAGATTTTAAAGTTCTGCTACTAGTTTTTAAGGCTCTAAATGACCTTAAAGCACTTACATCACAGTGTCTATATGTTTATGATCTTAGATCTGTCGATACTGAACTTCTGCAAACACCATCTGTAAAATACAGAAAACGTGGCAACTCTTTCAGTTAGCATGGAGCTCAGTTCACCTTTATTAGACAGTCAAGCATCTAAAAATCTCTAACTCTTTAACTAAGCACTCTTAAACTTTTAATTAAAACTCTACGTCTCGTGGTATTTATCTTTTAATTTGATCGGTCATTTTCTTTTTTATCATTTTCATATTTTAATCAATACCTATAATTTCTTGTATTACTGTTAAGCTTATCACCTGTCTGTAAAGGATTTTGAGCTGCCAGTGGCATAAGAAGTGCTATATAAATAAAAGTATTATTATTATTATTATTATTATTATTATTATTATCATGCTCATAGCATAATAAATAGGTCAGATCAACGTAAAAAAAATTACTTCACGTGGTAACAAGTAGATTAACTAGTTTTGTTCAACGTAAATAAATATTTTGAATGATTCTTTCAATTAATGTCATTTTTTGAGTTGAATAATGAATAAAACTAGTTCAATTGCTTGTTACCACATGAAATCTTTTTAGTTTGATCTGACGAGAAATTTTTTACAGTGTGTGTAGAGTCACTGGTTTATAAGTTTTTTTGTTTTTTTTTTCTCACCTGCAAGTGTCACTTTGTGGACCTTAATGCTAAGTTCTGTCATCAGTATGGGTGGATGCCTCCGTTTTTAAGGTAATGAAGGAAAGGAAGAGCAATATCAAGAGGAAAAACTAAAGCAGAGGGAAATACAGAGTAAAATCTTCACTCTAAAACTAAAAAGTGAGGAGGTGATCTGTGAGAACTCGAACATTGAAATTTTAACCCAAATTGAGCCCAAAACATATTTGGGAAATGACATCCGGTCACATGCAAATCCAACCAAACCTGAGCAGTCGCGTTGCATTGTGTTTGAACAAATATTTCATTTCTACGTTTCAATACACTGTTTTGTTGTGTAGACTAGGGCTGCACAATAACTTGTATTTTTATCATTATCTCGATATAAGTTTCCGCGATAACACGTCATTAAGAGCTGTGATGACCGATCAAATTACTTCATGCAGCGCCAAAAAGACATTATGTTGCCAGCACGTAGGGAACGAGGAACTTAACCATTCAGCTGAACAACCAGTTACAATACACACACGTGCGCAGCTCCACCCTGAACTACACGCCTCTGAAACACATCAAACATTAGGATTGTTCTCACTCACTGTACTGTGTTGTGGCTGCTGTCACAACAAACATGTGTAATGATAAATTTTCACTTCTCATATCACCATCGTGATATCCAACATGTTTATCAAACATCGCATTTTATGTGCATATCATATAGCCCCAGTGCAGACTGTATAAAATACATACAAAACAATCATTTTATTTAACCTTCAGAGCCACAAAGTGTCTAACTTCTGTATAAATAGACTGAAAGCCAAAGCGGGGCTTCCTCAGCTTTGACAGCAATGATGTGTTCAGGGTTACTGAACGTTTTTAACTTCATCAGTGTCAGATTGTACCTGCTGACATGTGTGACTTTCTGTGCTGTATTGTGTGTTTTTCTTTGTGAGTGTGCGTAGGTCTGCATGTGTGTGTGCGTTTTGTGCAAGAGTGTGTCTTTCCACCTCTATTTCGATTCTGCAGTGCCCTCTCTCCGTCTTTCGCTTTCAGAATGGTGTTAATTAATAAAGGTGTCGGTGTTCTGACGGGGTATAAAAAAACGCTTCCTCTGCTCTTTTCTCTCTCTCTCTCTCTCTCTCTCTTCTCTCTCTCTCTCTCTTCTCTCTCTCTCTCTCTCTCTCTCATCATATCACAATTCCTTCTCCCTCCCTCATTTCTCTCTCCATCTCTTTATCTGCTTTGTATTCTTCTTCTTCTCTCCGGCTCCCTGTCCGTTCGTTTTCATGCTCTCTCTTTCCCATATGCGTCCTCCGTTTTCTCCCCCTTTTCTTCTGCAGGCCTGTCAGAATGGCAACTCGCAGCACCTGGAGCATCTCCTTTTCTACGGCGCCGACTCCTCGTCCCAGAATGCCTCAGGAAACACTGCCTTGCACATCTGTGCTTTATACAACAAGGTAAAGTCACTTCTTGTTGTGGGTTGTGTAGAGTAAGATCTTGTGGAGTAGGACAACACGTGCACCATCTGGCATTCTGCCTGTGGTTTAGCAGCATTAACACTTGCTAAATATACAAAAGTAACCTGTGTTGCATTTGTTTTTCCATATTCATAAGAAAAATTAGCGGAATAAATGCCATAATGGGTTTCCAGCAACCAAAACTGCATAATTTACATGCACTTAATCCGATAATAATCCGATAACTGCAGAAAATCAGATTTTGTCAGTAATCTGATCAACGTGTTTACATGCACTTGAGTAATCAGATAATGGGGGAACTCCAGGTCTACATGAGTCAGGCAATAATCAGATTTCTGCTTTGCAACCAGCCAGTAAACTCACAGAAAAAGACGTGACGTAAAACTCAAACTTCATGCTGCATCTTTTTTTTTTTTTAAAACACTGCGCCACTATACCTGAAAATATGAACATACATCATCTAGAAGATGAAGAATATTTAAACTCTTTATTTTGTCAAGCATTTGGTCGGTTTCAGCATCGCTCCAAAAGTGTTTCGCTGCGTGTCACAGCAACGCTGCTTGCTTATTTCCGGTACCGCTGTCTGTTTTCGCACATGTGCAGATTGAGAAATCCAAAAGAAATCAGAGTAAGAGTTTACATGCACACAGAAACCTGATTACTGAGCTAAAATCCAGCTCTCTTTATCAGATTTCTTAATTGTATTTCTAGACCTTACTCCGATCTAAGAAATCAGTGTGTGCTGTTTACATGACCGTTTGAGTAATCAGATAACTGCAGAAATCTGATTATGATCAGATTATTGAGGGGTGCTCTGTATCTCCTGGGTCTAAAGGTTTTCTCAGATTTGTAACTGCACTAGAAAAAATGTGGTAACAGAGTTATTCTGGTAATAGTAAACGTTCTATGAAAACTGGCCACTTTATCAGAAACACCTACCTTATACTTTACTCTGCTATATATGCTGCAAAAAAATGGCATCTTGTCAAGTAAAATTATCTTAAATATAGTCAATAAAATGTAATATCTCCTGTTGAGGTTGTAAACTTAATGTAAGATTTTTTTTACTTATTCCTAGACACTACTTACTTGTTTTAAGTGATTTTATTAAGTAAAATTATCTCACTATATTGGCAGATAATTGTGCTTGTTTTAAGGAATGTGCTTATCTGCTAATATAGTAAGATAATTTTACTAAATAAAATCACCTAAAACAAGTAAATAATGTCTAGAAATAAGCTAAATAATCTTTTAATCAGTGCACAACCTTCTTAAAATGGGAAATATTAGATATATTGACTAGATTTAATAATATATCACCTGACAAGATGCTGTTTTTTGCAATGTAGGTGTACAGTTACAGACTGTAGTCCATCTGTTGCTGCACAGTGTATGAATCCCCTCTACCCTGCTCATCATTGGTCAGTTTCTGACCACAGGACCGCTGTTGAATATCCAGCCAAGAGTGGCTGTGTGGTCAGAAAGTGACCACTGTTGAATGGCTGGAGAATGGCTAACACAAACGGTGCAGCCTCTAACTGTACACCAGCAAGGTGGAGCTACCAGAGGGGGGTTTCTAATAAAGTGGCCAGTAAGTTTATTTATATGTACAATAATGAAGGTAAATGTACTCTATTATTTTTCCAGCACTGATCACTATTACACATGGCCCAGCCCTGTATGTACCTATACATATTCAAATTACTGAGATGGCGCAGGTTTATGAATGAATGATATTGTGTTTATCCAGCACTTTACGACTGCTGTCTGCAGCTGATGTAACAGGCTGTGTTGTGAGTTCTGAATGACGGCTGTCGGTGTGTGTTTGGACCATTCAGGAGAGCTGTGCACGCATCCTGCTTTACCGAGGAGCCAAAAAGGACATGAAGAACAACAGTGGGCAGACGCCCTTCCAGGTGAGTGTTAATGAAAGAGAAAAAAGCAGCTAACGGGAGGCTGGCGTGTCTGTGGGTTCAGCTAGGATGAAGAGATTGCAGAGTAATCTTGAAGGAGGAACTGAGATGTGAGGAAAAGCCTGCTCCAAACCACAGTAAAGGCTTGTCTGTGCATTCATGATAACATTAATGTTGATTTATTATGTTGACGTTTTATTGTTGTGATCCGTGCATTGATTTGTTGATATAAAGAGTGTCGGTGCTGTTAACCTCTGCCATTTTTGCATCAACAGCAAAGGCTAATTGCGTAAGTGTGTATGTGTGTGTGAAAGAGAGACAGACCAAGATGTACTTACAAACACAGGCGCAGTGTGAAATATGTGTTGATGTGACCAGACGTTGCACCTACAATCGCCTGAATTTAATGTTTCATTTACTTCTATAGTCTGATAGACTGATGACATATACTATGCGCAGCTTCGTTAACTAACTACTTGCTTGTGAGGTACAGGGTTTAAAGGCTCAGTGAAATAATGGCATCAAAATGAAAGATCAGTGATGAAGAGGTAGCTGTGTTAATAAATCAAGTTCTTTCCCACCAAAACATTCTTCAGGGGGGTTATTTTTCTCCAGTTAAGAAAACTGAGTTTATGAAATGATAACATGTACTGTGTGCATTGCTGCCGATTTTGCCCCTTGATTGGTCCCTGAGAGTTAAAACAATGTTATTTTTATGGTACATATTCTTTCAGCATGCATTCAGCTGCACAAGTAACAGCCCTCCTTCAAATGCTTATTGATGCATTTTGGACTCACCTACATGCCAGCAGGCTGAACACTGTATGTATGTGTGTGTTTTCCAGGTGGCTGTGATGTCTGGCCATTTTGAGCTTGGAGAGATCATCAAAAACCATCGGGATTCAGACGTAGGTGAGTGTAAATCCAGAGAATCAGTGAGCTGTGATTCTTTAATGCTCTCAGTGCCCCGTCTGTCTGTCTTTCTTTCTCTCTCTGTCTCTCAGAATTTCTCCATAGCAGAAAATCTGCATTAATAATAGTTTCAAACTCTCATCATTTGCTTTTACTTTTATAACATTTCTCTCTGGCAGTGCCATTTTTGGAGTCACCCAAGTATGCCCCCCAGAGGCGGGAGAGTGGGCGAACACTCGCTTTGCCCCATCCTCACCCCTTCCTACGGGCCAACAGCGACAACAGCATGAATCTTCCTGAATGGATGGCCTTTCCCAATGCTGCCGGCTCCAACATCGTCTCTGTGCAGGTAATCTCTGTGTGTGTGTGCGTGTATAAATATTCCTGGTGGGGACCAGACATGGGTAGTGATTAGTTCAATTTACTCTGCTACATATACTAATGCACAATTTTTCAATGATTCTAATTCATTTTTATGGGTTTATTTTCATTCTGTTATATTGGTTTAGCTGATAGATGCTTTATTGTTGCTCACACCTCACTTTGGAGCTTCAACATTGTATTTTAGACCACAAGGATACAAAATTAGACTGGCAAGCTTCAGTTCCTGTGCTGATAGATTTTGGATATATAAGGCCCAATCCCATCTCACCCCTCACCCTGACCACTTAGCCCTTACCCCTCTGTTTTGCCTGTTGCACCTAGGCGTAGGGTGTGCCGGGTTTTGTTGAGATAGAGGGGTAGGGTTTTTTTGAAGTTTTAGGGCTGCTTGGCCCTCCAAATGGAGGTTTTTCAGAGACATAGTCCAAACAGAGTGTCATGAGAAAAAAAGAAAAACCGGCAAGATGCACGAGCGACCAGAGAAACCCACAAATGAGTATTTTCTCTGTTAAAATTATGATAACCATTGTGTTATGTTAGTTTAATGTCGTTTCAGTATATTATGGTCCTTTGCTTCGTAATAAGCATAAAAAAATCAGTAGTACTATGCTGATGTATCGGTAGCTGGCTAAATTTCCCGTTCCGCCTTAAATGGTGTTGTAGTTACATTCTGGCCCTTCAGGTGACAGAAATGCTGCACCATTTAAGATGGAACAGGAAAATTCAAACAAGAAGCAGGTGAATAGCTAACTAAGCTTCTTATCACTGAAGAATTGGAGGTGGATGATAATAAATAATTGTCCCCCCTCTTTGAAGGCATATGGTGCCCTAAATGTAACTAAAGCCCAGCAGTGAGGAGCTGAACTTTGGCCTCCTCTGCTTTCACTGCAGACTGGCAGGGTTGCCTACAGAGCAGCGCTAGGAGCCTGTAGAAGTAAAAATAAGCAATGGGATTGGGCCTAAGTTCCACTGCAGTTCCATAAGTTACACAGTAATGGAGACATTTTATGAGCTGCTAATTTTGTTCTTTTACACAAGGTCTGGGGTCTGGCTTATGGGTATGTTACTTTATCTTGATAAACGTCTAAAATTTACCTTCCCTGTGGATCAGCAGTGATTAGGTGGCAGTTTGCATGATGATAATGCATATTTTAAATTCCCCTACTGGTCTCTCTTATGGTAATAAGCAGAGTTGCAGTGTGTCTGTACTGAATTTTTTAAGGATGTATTTTAGAGTCTTTGAAAACCTCCTTGTGGTTTTATTTGGCCTTTTTAAAATTCTGATTACTTCATTAAAATGACTAGGAAATTACTTGATTACTACAGCCCTACTGTATATGTGTGACTCTGTGTGTGTGTGTGTGTGTGTGTGTGTGGGTGCGCGTGTGTGTGTTAGGGTCTGAAACACGGTGGAACTCTGCGCAGCTCCAGTAGCCCCCGTGGAGCCCGGACTCGCTCTCCCTCCCGTGGCCGAACAGGAGACAGAGAGGATCGCAGCCGACAGACCCGTGGGAGACAGGGGTGAGACACACACACACACACACACACACACATACACACATCTACATTTGTGCTGCAGGCTGATATCATGCCTGTGCAAAAAGCCGCCTCTATGGTACGGTGTAGATTTTAGGACATTCTCATGCTGCAACATCAGGTTTCAGACTGAAGAACGACTTGAATAAAACACATGAAAAAGTCATGTCTCAGCTCTCATTTATCAGGCAAAATGGTTTCAGAAATGAAGGCAGGCAAAGCTAAACAGCCACAGATTGACAGACGGTAAAGTTCATGTGACATCTGCCAATCTGTTCTTTCTTACCAGATTAATTACAGTTTTGTGACCAAATTTAAGATTTTACAATATATACAATACATACTATACAATATATACTACACAGTGTACCACAACCACAGCTTTTACTGAACTGTGCTTTGTTATTTTCATTAACAATGATTAAGACTCAACTCACATTGCATGTTTTAACCCCTGTGTGCTTCAGTGTGAGGGACCGATGAAACGGTAAAGCAAAGAAAAAAATACAGAATATGAGGACTCTGTTACCAGCACAGACCTATCTGTACATCATCTGTTGGGGATCAGAATAAAGTGTGACAAATTTTACACTGCAAAAAATAGTATCTTGTCAGGTGAAATGATCTTAAATCTAGTCAGTATATCTAATATTTCCCATTTTGAGATGGTTTTCCACTGATTATAATATTTTCTAGCTTATTTCTAGGCATTATTTACATGTTTTAGGTGATTTTATTAAGTAAAATGATCTCATTATACTGGCAGATAATTTTGCTGGTTTCAAGCACATTTCTTACAACAAGCAAAATTATCTGTCAATATAGTGAGATAAATTTGTGTAATAAAATCACCTACAACGAGGAAGACGCCTACAAAAAAGTTAAAAATCTTAAATTAAGTTTACAACAATATCTACGGGAGAAATATTAGATTTATTGACTAGATTTAAGATATTTTTACTTGACAAGATAACATTTTTGCAGTGTAGTGCACTTTTACTTTTAGAAGCCTTTTACTGCACTTTTTTTTACTTATTGTTATGTATGTATTGGTATTTACTTAAAGACATTAAAGACCCCCCAGTCTATATTAAGGGAATTTTTCACTGAAACAAGTCAAATTTGAACCATTTTCCCCTTTCCCCTCACATCATTGAACGTCTAAAAACGTGTGGTGTCTGATGTCTGTTTAATTTGTTTTATACTGACACTATAAAGCTAAGCCAAACGTAGTCAGTCAGCCAGGATATGTTCAGTGTCTAAAATTTGCTTCTTTGGTTTTGAATAGAAATCTTTTTGGGTGCTACAGCCTTCTACTACATCATCAATTCAGTACTATATTAACAGTTTAATAATTTCTCCCTCACCCAAACGTAGTCAATTAGCCAGGATATGTTCAGAGTCTGAAATTTGCTTCTTCAGCTTTGCATGGGAGTTTCAGACACTAAATGTGTTCCAGACATTTGAGGTAAGGAGGAAATTTTAAAAATGTGAGAGTTTTCTGTGAACTGTCCTATTAAGACAGAAGTGAACATAAGTGGTTGGTGAAATGAGGTATGGTGTGGAAATTAATGTCAGAAATGACTGAGTGTAAGTTTCAGATGAATGGTAAGCTTGTCCCGTTGGTCTGTGTGTGTTTGTGAGTGCAGGCCCGGCTCTATCAGCAGTCAGGGAGCAGCCCCAGGGCAGCGGAGGCGTCTGTACAGCGCCGTCCCGGGTCGAGTGTTTGTTGCCACGCGCTCATACTCGGCACAGGGGGAGCGCGAGATCAGCTTCAACAAAGGAGACAAAGTCAAAGGTGTGCGTCTACGCGTGTTTGTGTCACCGCATGTGCACAACTGCTTATGTGTGGACTGCAAGAGTTTGAGTATTATGCAATGGTCAGCAGTAGTCTGGTCAGCGAGAGGGTCACTAAATGTCTGTCTGTCTCTGTGTGTTTCCCTCAGGTGTGGATAAACGTTGTCTGTGTATGTATACTGGTGACATGTGTCGGTATGTCTGTGAATGTGTGTGTGTCCTCTGCATGCTGATGTAGACAGTAGACACTATGTGTATGTGTACTTGTATTGCTATGCTTCTGAGAATCACTTGTTTCTCATAAGTATAGTAAAATATGGACAAAAGAGTGACTTGGGAGGTCATCTTTCCTGGACCTTACAAGTTTACATGCATTTATTCTTTAGTGTGTAGAAATAGGGCTCATGAAAAGAATATATGTACTGGGGATGGGGATGTCTGAATTTCAGCAAATTTTAATTGATAACCGACCATAATTAGTTGGCAAATGACCATTAATCAGCAAGCCTAAAATCAACGACAAGGCCTGTCTGCTTTATTGCTTGTGTATGTTTCCTTTTGATATGATACTATTAATCCCAGAGGGAAAGTCATCTATTACAGCAGCACACAGTACATTAAAGAGCAAAACAAGAGCAAAAGTATAGCTGTGTGCTATTATACAGATGCATAAATAGAAAAAGTAAAGATATATAATAAAATATATATATAAAAAAATGTTGAAGCAAAACCTCGTATCTCCTTTTTTCAGTTTTTGACATAATTTGAAAGGACCTGTTGTTCTTTACATTGTTTGTAAATTTCATGATGAAAGTACCAAAATAAACGGCCCAAAATTACATGGAAAAAAGTCTGGCTCCATTGACTTACATTAAAAGTAAAGTATGTTTTTTTCTTCTCCTGTAAAGTTACCATTTTGGAGATACAAGGTTTTGCTCTGACAGCAGCGATATACTAAATCAACTACAAAATATAACGTGCAGTACAAAAATAAGTAGGGAAATCAGATAAATACTTTCCAGGTGACAATGGGGTGCATGTCTCGTCCAGTGAATGAACTGAGTAACTATGCAATATGCCTGGGTGTATAAACAAGTGGCAGTGCAATATGCAGTATTTATGGACATATTGTTGTAATGCTGTTGTCCGCTCAAAAAGGTGGTCCTGAACACCTCCATTTTTCGCTGTGGGCTTCAGTTTAGCAGGCCTGTCTTACAGAACCAATAGCCTGTTGTGCCTTCATGTGTACAAATTCAAAAACATTCCTCAACTTGAATGACAAGCCGTCCAATTCTAACAGGAACTGCTGTTTATTGGAAATGCAATAAAATTATAGTTTTTCTTTTAATTGATAAAATAAAAAAAAACTGATAGCATTATTCGAACAAGTGCTTATTTGTCAGTTTTGGGTTAATTGGTTAATCGTTTACAACACTAGTATATACACACACACATACAGAGGGGTGACAAAGTAAAGGAAGAAAAAGGTGTGTTAGGAAGATGTTGAGCCACCAGAGGATTTTCAGTGTACCTTGGAATAAATTCTACAGGTGTTCTGTACACTGTTAGAAATAAAGGTTCTATGCAGGTACATTTTTCATTCATCAAGGTACAAACAATGTAAACGTTCCCTCAAAGGTACAAAAGTTGTTTTAAGGTCTGATTGTGAATCTTAAATAAGTTTTTCCAGGTGAAAAGTACGTATTTGTACCTTTTCATAACCGAATGTTTTAAAACAGAACAGTAAAATAAAAAGCCTGGAGACGAGACGGGGTGTGTGGAATCAGTACAGCTTAGAAAATATAATTTCAAGGGATTATTGTACAGTTATGTTCCCTGACTAAAGGTACTGAGATGTACCCTTGAGGGACAAGAAGACCCAAACCATGTCAGCAGAATACCACCCTAACAAAACATAACATAGCCATCGGAACCCCTTATTCAGGTCGTCTCTTGGCGCGCGCCACACATGCACTCACTCACTTGTGGAGAATACGATGAAGGATGACACATCTGAGCATATCTCTTGTTTTCACATCTATAATATCTCTGTATTAAGAGATTCAGGGTGTTTACACACAATGCATCAAAAACGCGGTTCACTGTGTCCACTGCAGCCCTACTATAATACCCCTCTAAGCTTAGTCATGGGCCGACTGTCCTTGCTGACACAGGAAAAACAGCTGTTGCTCTTCTGTTTTTTTCTTACATATTGCATTAATGCACAAGCATCACGGCCATTGAGTGTGCATTTTTTACCTACTTACTGATGTTTTTCCCATAGATTTAAGTGTCACTTCAGTCACTGCTCTTATTTTCCTTTAGTTTGTCACCTATCTAGTTACACAGTCGAATGCAAAAGTTTGGGTGCCCCTTGTGTTTTGTTGATTTTTTGAAGTTAACACATCCTTGACTGAGAACACACTTCTGCATGTTTTAATGCACATTTACTATTTATTTGCTGAATTTAACGTATTGGAAAAAAATGAAACATAAAATGTGGCATGTGAAAAAGTTACAGAACATTTTAAGTTATTAGTTATGTTATAAATAGCAAATAAATCAAGATTGTGCACTAAAATTGTTAGAAATTTTAAGTTTGTTCCCTTATAAAATCATCAAAACATGCAATTTGACCGGAGGTACTGTGTATAAGACGGTATATAAATAATTGGTTTTCCATAAAAAATGAGAGAGAAAAAAAAGAAACTAGGGTTAGGTTTTGAGTCAGTGTGTTACAGTACAGTGCGTGTAAGACCTCACAAGTGTTTATCCATAATTGTGTTTGTGTGTGGGAGGTGGTTGTGTGAATGGATGTGCATGGGTCTGTCAGTCCCTCGTGGTGCTGATGTGCTCTCGTAGCTGGAGGTGTGAGAGTGGGAGTCTGCATGTAGGTCGAGTGTGAATGAGAGAGTGATGCTCTGACTGGCACAGTCTTAGTCAAACTGTGTGCATTCAAATCAGAATGGACTCCAGTGAGTTTCAGTGTGTTTGTGTGCGTGTTATTTGTTTTGCGTGTCCTTTGCAAGTGTGTTTACTTGTGTGTGAGTGTGTATGTTTCTGTGTATGCTCATGAATGTGTGATGTGAGCACACACACACACTCTGTTTTTCTCTCCGTGTTTATTCTCAGTGCTGAGTGTCGGTGAGGGCGGTTACTGGGAGGGAACAGTACGAGGAAGGACGGGCTGGTTTCCCTCAGACTGTGTGGAGGAGGTAGCTCCCCGCAGCCTGGACCACCGCTCAGGTGAGACATGCACATAAACAGAGCTAATTTTGTGAAGTTATCAGTCAGTCAATCAATTAGTCAACCTTTATTTAAACTCAGAGTACATTGAGGGAGACCCTCATTTACAATGTAGCTGAGCCAATACAGAGATGAGGGATTAAATAAAAAGTTAAATAGTAAATACATAACTATGGCGTGCACCCGTCCACCGGCCGACCTCTGAGCGGGGACGAAGCCCGACGAGGACGGCGGGGTGAGGAACACCGCGAGTGAGGGGGCAATGACATGTGAGTCCCGAGCCCCGCCTCCTGAGCACCGCCTCCGGTCCCGCAGTGAGGCCACGTTAATTAGCCTCACGTTTGATCCGGGCGGACGAGCTGCGGAACCGGGGACGGGGCCCGGGCGGCACAGCTCGGAACTCGCTTCCTGCTTTCGTGCCTCTCGTGGCCATCATCATCGTCATCGTCCCCTCTCACACGGCTGACGTCCTCCTCCCGCCGTCACTTGCGTCCCTCGATGGTCGGGATTTGTGTGCCGTTCCCCACTCACTTGCGGCTCTCTCCCCACTGTCCTCGCTGGGGTTAGTCACCGCTTGGTGTTCGGGCCCTGCCTTCCTGCAGGCTCTCGCGGCCATCATTGGGGCTAACAAATGCTAAAAAGTAATAATAATCATAGTAGTAAATAAAAAAAAAAATCAATAAACCGTTAAAATTACAACAATATAGTAACTTAATAAATAAGATAAAATATGGATAAATAAAAATATAATTAATGAAATAAGTAAAGAGATAAAAACTTGGCAATGTTAAAATAAATAAGAACAGAATGATAAAAATAAAACAAGAACTGAAAACATACCAAAAATGTTGCAGTTGCAGGCTGATGGAGGTGGTTGGATGAGGCTCTCGGCACCTGAAGGGTGATCCAGTCACTGGAATGAGGCTGATAAACTGCATTATTTACACTGAGCATGTCTGTGATGTACGGTGGCATACGGCCAGTAAGTGCTTTATAGGTAAAAAGAAGCCAATGTGTCTCCTGAGGCACAGCCAGAGATGACCACCTAACCCTTTCATACAGTACACAGTGATGGGTGTTGTATGGGTCACCAGTAATGAATCTTACAGCGGAGTGGTATACAGAGTCTAGAGATTTTAGAGTAGTTGCAGTTACATCTCTGTATATCACATTGCCATAATCGAGGGTAGACAACAGTGTTGCTTCAACAATCTTTTTACTTGTCTGCATTGGGAAACATACTTTATTTCAATACAGGAAGCCAAGTTTTTGCTTCAGTTTACACATAAGCATGTTAACATGGTGTTTAAAAGTGCTACCCATCGATAGCCATATGCCAAGGTACTTGTACTCACTAAAATAAGCACAAAAATCTCCCTTTTTAAGACATAACAGACAGTAGTATGTTTATTAAACCCCTTTAAACCTAACATCTCATTGGTGATCCATCCAGAGGCTTTGGCGAAGCCCCCTTTAACTTATTAAAGTGCGGAAGGCTTGTCACAAAACAGCTTTACAGAAAAAAATCTGGGTTCAAGTCCCCTTGAGTAAGCCAATGGTGACAGTGGCAAGGACAAACTCCCTAAGAGCAAGAGGAAGAAACCTTGAGAGGAACCAGGACTCAAAAGGGTAACCCATCCTCCTCTGGTCGACACCAGATAATAAACAATAAGAGTTTGACCATTTAACATAAGATACAGAAAGGGGGAAAAGCAGGTGAAGCAAAGGCTCTGATTAAATAGTTTGAGTCTGTGCAGCAGCAGTATCAGGAGGGCCAGTTAATGCAGGTGAGGTTTGCACAGTCTTGTACAGCAGGAAGCTACATGGTGGTTAGACTGGTCCAGAAAGCTGGTGAGCAGTGGGCACCCGATCAAGGCAGATGAAGCAACAGCATCAGAGCGCACAGGATGGGCAGCTGTTCAACTCGGCAAAGAAACACACAGGCAGTTAGTTCTGTTAAGATTAGATTAAACAGCAGAAATAGCCATGTTTTTGCATCAGCCTTAGATGGTTAAAATCTGCCCCCAGAGCAGTTGGTTTGTGGTTTTGACTTACTGTGTGTAGCTGTAGAGTCCAACAAACTGATTGTTAATAAGTTTAGATGATTGTTAGTGACTTTAGCTCTTGCTGATTCACCTGCTGAGTTTTATTTGCAGCTGTAATCAGATCCACCTGATTCCCACATTGACATTCCTGAAGGCTTCAGTTCAATCAGGTGTGTTATATCAAAAAATAAAACTCCTCAGTGTCAGAGTTTTAAAAAATAAAGAAGGTGAAGAATTTTCACATAGAATATGTTAGAGTAAGAGAACTTTGCTGAATCCAGAGCTTAGTCACTAATAGTGTTCCTCTTCTGTTCTTGAGTGTGTCCTGTGGTATAATGCTAATGTATGACTTTTCTATTTGTGTTAACTAGTGGACGTTATACATTATACTTTACTCCATGCCAACTGGCCAGTCAAATCACACACATTACATTATACAACCTCCCCAAGTAAAACTAGTCCAGCTACAGTCATGCTTATAACTACACAGACACAAGTACAAGTCTGTTATTTGGAGCTTTTAGACCAGGGGTTGGCAACAAGCGGCTCCAGAGCCACATGTGACTCTTTTACTGCCCTCTTGCGGCTTCACAGCAGAACTAGATTTTTAGGTTAAAAATAAAATAATCATTCTTTGCAATGTGAAGCTAACATGAAGCTTTGCTGAGCCTTCTAACACAGTTCCAACAATAAATGGTCTTGAATCTAGAGTTAATTCATAAATGGTCTTAAACGCAGCTAATTCACACTTTAACCCTGAAAATTGGTGCGCAGACTGCTGGTCATACAGCAACTGAGACAACAATCTTGCCTAGGTAGCAGCTAACGAAAGGGCAAAGAAGAGAAAGATTTTAAATGAGTATCGATAATTTGGAGACGAATGGACTCATTTGGGTTTATAATCACTCCAACTGGTTTCCTGATACGTTTAATATGCAACGAGAAACTGTCAAACACTAAAAAGTCGCGAAGGTGAAGTCAGTTCCGTTCCACCTTAAATGGTGCAGCAGTTAAATTTTGGCACCTCACTCACTATTTAAGGTGGAACAGGAAAATTCGAACAAGAAGCTGGCGAATGAAAAGTGACTTCAGCTCATAAAACCTTGAAAGTTGAGAGACATTTTACAAGAAACTATCCTACTTTAGGAGAAAAGTTTCCTGCTTGAGATGCGAGAGAAGCAGCTATAGCTGAGCTAAAGCTTAAAGCAGAGGAAAGTGAGCCTTTACTAGCAGATTAGCACATAATGAGACATATTTACAGCCAACTTGGTAAAACCTTATTTCAATAAAATGGACATTAAATGTGTAGGCTCCCAAGGTAGACTGATTTTTGTTGAAAGGACAAAATAGCTCTTCTTAACATTTAGGTTGCCGACCCCTGTTTTAGGCTAAGTGATGCTAAACTGTCTTGCAGTCTGTAGTCCAAACCCACTCTGTTTTAACGTCCAGGCTGTATTTACAGGGCAAGCAAAGTGACAGGCTCTGCCATGATATGTTTTTCTTTTTTCAAGCATGCACTACACAATTTATAAAATCCTAACAGATTTCAAAAACAAATTTCACACTTAAAGTAAGTCGTTTACAAATGAGGGTCCCAAACTGGTCCTCAGGGCCCCTCAGACAGTCCTCCAAACTAGCTCACTATAAAGGTAGAGCAAAAATATGGACCGTCTGGGATGCGACTCTTTTTTTACAGTATTTATTTTTTTATTGTGAAGACATACACACTAGGTAATTGGGCAGAAAAGTTTTTGGCTACAAGAAAGCACAAAAATCCTAATTCTTGCCGTTGTCATATGACGTAAACACAGCTAGGACAGAACCAGACATGTTTATCCTTGTATGCCAATGCAAGAAGCATAGCAACAACCTAATCTGTGGATAAATATGTGGTTACATATCATTTTGTTATTTAAATTAGTGATCGAAGGAGCCTGACAAATATTTATTGGTAGTGTGTTCCAGATCTTTAGTGCATGTGTGTGGAATATGAGGACAGAGGACAGACATGACACATTTTGGAACATAGTTTATCAGGCATTATGAGATGTATGAAGCTGCACTAATAATAGATTTAAAACTAGAACTTTTTTGTAGTCAGTTCTAAAGGAAACAGGCAGCCAGTGGAGTGATGCTAAAACTGTTCATTTTCCACAACTGCCGCATTTCACAAACTAAATGTAGTTTGTTTGTTGTTGTAGGAAGTCCTGTGAGCAATACATTACAGTAGTCAAGGTGAGGAACATAAAAGCATGGATCAATTTCTTGGCATCTTTTAACCAGATGTTGGGTCTCACTCGTGCTATGTTCATTAAAGTGTTCATTAAATGATAGAATGTAGTTTTAGTCATGTTAATGTGTGGTTTAAAAGTTAAATCGCGGTTCATAATTACACCTAGATTTCTAACTTCAGATTTTGGCCAAATTGCATTTTACCCCTCTCTCCTACCACTAGCCTTCCGTTTTGCGCATTCACGCGTAGGGGTAGGGTGTTCTGATTTTTATTGAGATAGAGGGGTAGGGCAAAATGTTTGGGCTACATGGCCCTCCAAACTGAGGTTTTTCAGAGACTCTAAATGGAGTCTTATGAGAAAAAAAGAAAAACGGGCAAGATGGTTGCACAAGCAACCAAAAAACTTACAAATGTGAGTATTTTCTGTGTTAAACAATCATAATAATCATTGTATTATCTTTGTTTAATGTAATTTCAGTGTATTATAGTCCTTTTCGTCATTTCTAGCATAAAAAATCACTAGTACTATGCTGATGTCTCTGTATGTCTCTTCACCCAGCTAACAATCTTCGTCAGACAGGTTAACAGCTTATTTGAAGTAGCAACATCATGCAGCGCTTTAGAAATGTATAGCTGTGTATCATCAGCATAACTGAAAAGTATTAATGCTTTTTATTAATATTACCCTTTGGCAAGATATACAAAGAAAATAAAAGTGGCTCAAGTAAATCATTGTGCTCTACAGGACTTGTGAGCATTTTCAGTCGTAAACATGTTTGAAAATATCAGACTACAGGTGAGAACAAGTTGTTCCCTGATCATTCTGGACCAAAACTGAAAGCCTGCGATGTTGATCGCTACCAGTCGAGCTCCAAACCTGGAAATTCGCTTTCGAATGGCAAAATTTGGCATAAAGGGACACAATGAAGCTAAAAATCATATACTGTACGTCCAGCTTTAGTCCGAGGCTGTTTGAAGGCTATTAATAGTTAACAGCAGTACAGTCCGTGGTAGAACCACAAGCACAATCACACTTCTCTGATTGTGCAACTTCACACTGGGTAAACTCACCACAGTCATTCCTGGTGCACCAGACGAGCCAGAGGAAGAGAGAAATTTCTAGTTAGACCTGTGTTTGGGGTTTGCAGCCACACAAACACCGACCTGTGATCATGTGGACCCCGTTTTGTTTGTGTGTTTCAGAAAGCCGGAGTGAGAAAGCCAAGCGGCTCTTCCGCCACTACACTGTGGGATCCTACGACAGCTTTGACGCACCCAGGTAAGACCAGATCGTGCTGCTACGCTGAGCCACACACACTCACTCATGTACTCACACCCCTCCCGCACACACTGCTAATTTTGACGAACTGTATGTCGTTAAGGATTAACGCAGTGATGTTTCTGTGTTGTGGGCCATTTTTCTGCTGTTTAATGATGGTTGAAGAGCTCCACAAGACAAAATGAGCAGATCCAACAACATCAGAATCTTATGTCCATGAACATCCATTTTGGGGTTCTCCTTTCTGGGTTGAGATCTGTTTGTAGAGAGTCAAGTTAGAGAATGTTGGCTGCATTATAGTGCACTTCAGATGTTGTTATGGGTCAGATATGGTGAAGTGGTAAAGTGATTGTCTTGCTGCTGCTTATATATGTAAATGTTTTGATTGAACGTAGGCTTTTCATTCGCTTTACACTGTAAGCACTGTGACTTCACAACCAGCAGTGACCCATACAGTGGATAAATGGCTTGAGTCTCTAGAAACTGCGGAAAAGGTTCCATTCACAATACAGCCTTAACTAAAGTTAATGTCATTACATATTATATTACTTTCATTGACTTAAAATCTTTAAAACTATTGCTCTCAGAGAGTGTTCCTTGCTACTGTTGTCCTTGGATTGCTCACTAATGGCCTGGACCCAGATTTCTATAGTGCTGCTTAGTGACAACAGCATTTGTGATTTTTTTTTTTTAACAATTCTGCCACTAACTTGCTTTTGAATGAAGCGTTTCACATTAAATGACTCTGAATGGCATAATTAATGATTGCATTTTGCAGAAATTTTGAGAAATCAGTAGAATTCTTCTTTGATTTTCTCTGGCCAGACTGGGTATTTACCTTAAGCTTGGCCCACACAACACAATTTTTTTGCCCAATTTAAACTCCGATTTACCCCTTGCGACAAATTTTCACAGTCTAAAGTGATTTTCCAGGTCGGGAGCTCAATCAGTGGTGTGAGCAAAGAGAAGAGTGAATCTTTAGCCCTCCAATCAAACCCTGAAGTGATCAGAGACCCTCTGATATTATCAAACAGGTTCGATATTTACGACTCAAACGTTCCTGAGTCCTGCGGTGTGAGAGGGTTAGAGATTTATTCAGAGAGTGATTCAAACAACAGCCAATCAGAGAGCTGGAAGAGCAGACAAGCCGCCTGAATAGCAGAGCGCAGAGACAGAGGAGCTGCGTGTAAAACACAGGCAAACAAGAGCTGACATCATGTTTATAATGTTTAAAATGTGTGAATCCAAAGGTCAAGTCAATCTTTTTACAATTTCAAGTCAGCTGCTAGTTTGTAGTAAAATATTTCTCCAGCTTTCACTCTAATATCAGCGTCTCTCAACCCCATTTTAATCCCCAGTTTGCACTTTCACTGCGCATAAAAGAACAAACAGCTTCAGAAAGTTCAGCTCTGTTTGTGTCATGTGACCTGAGGAGATCTGGGACTTTGAGGTCTTATTCGTAGCACAAACTCGTTATGTGTTATTCTCTCTCTGTTTGCCCTGTCGTCTAGTCTGAGCGCCTCATGGCGATAAGACGAGAAATTCTGTGACAAACTGACGTTAAGTTTGTGATGCTCTCCGTTTTAGAAATCTGTTAAGATTTTAAAAGTCATGTAGTGAATGCCTGTCTTTAGCCACATACATTGAAGCAGACAATTAGGTGTTTTTGTAAGTGTTTAATTAGTAATGTGGTCTTCTTAACTGTTTACTCCAGACCTCACTATTTGTCCTGTATCTTAGAATTATCAAATGGGTAAAATTTCACTCCCCTATTCAAACACTTTTAATTCTGAGTATTTGATTTAGAAAATCTCTCACACACAATGTTGTGACATATTGGAAAATTCTGAAAGCTCGCCAGAGGTGCCTGGGCCTAGTTTCACTTGCTAAAGCTCAACTGGACGGTCAGTATTTAGCGGCAGTGTTCAGCAAAGGGACATTTGTTTGGCTTGGTCGATTCATCCGTACAACATGTATTTAGTGCTCTTTGACTGGAAGTAGTTTTAGAAACTTCTTTTAGCCTCTGAATATGAGTGTTCCCTATTCAGTCAATGGCAGCTCACTGTGTTTAGGCTTTTTGGTTTTGGTGACTGGAGTGCAGTGAGCTCAACGGCTCAGAATAAGAGAGGAAAGACGTGGAAAGTGGTTGCACATCAAAACGTACTTCTTCTTTCTTTAATGTATTTAAAGCAGGTAAAATGTATTTTGCACTGCTCTCTTTCTGCTGCTGTAATATTTTGTTCTATTTTAAGACTTTGAAGGCTTTAAAGAAAGAACCAGTTGTATTTTTGGTGTGCATCCACTTTCTTTTTTTTCAATCCAGTAATGCTTTGAGTTGCAGCCTTTAGCTGGATATCAGAAGAAAGCCTTTAAGTGTTGGATGTGCAGCAGGAATCATGTGACTTGTAGTGATCTCTGGGCTTCCAAGGACTTTTCCTTTCCCGTCTCTTTCTCTCGTCATGTGTTGGTGGAAACATGCATTAACACCCTACGGAGTAACTCTGTATTAATGAGTATAACTCATTTCAGCTGCTCTTAACAGGCTCACATACAGTTCTGCACAGTATAAAACATTCATCATTTATGCTTTATGTTCTTCTACTCTCTCCCGGCCTCTCTCTCTCTGTCAGTCACACACACACACTACCATTTAAAAGTTAGAATCACTCACCATATTAACATATTTTAAATACAGTAATACCTTACGCGGTGTAAATTGAAATAGTACAAATTATTTGCCACAAGGTATTTGAGATATTTTTAAGAATTCTGTAGAGTTAAAATGATAAAAATGGAAAATAAACATATTGTAATGATCCATTTACGTTATTTTTGTCAAGTTTTCTGCCTTAAGATTTGATTTCCATGTTTGAATTATGGATTAATTTTATTATAACTTAGAATTATCTTCAGCTCTGTTCTTTATTTTGGACACATTTAACGTTTCTTTTTATTTTTTTTATTTACAGCTTCCTAGTGTCCTCCTCATTATTTGAAAATTAAGTTGTGAAGTTGTATGGGCAGGATGAGCAGGATGAGAATCTTTTTATGCACTTGGCTGTAACCAAATTGATTTTATATTGCTGAAAATATATATTGTATACGTTTGAGGGGTAGCTTAAGTACAAATAGGAGTTGTCAATACGTTTTCTTTATTATGAAAAATTACATCACAGTACATTTTTCTGAGTATGTCCCAGGTATTGGCAAGCATTTAGAACACAAAACATAAAAAAAATTATTATTTACATTCGCAGTCATATGCAAAAGTTCAAATATCTCTGGTCAGATTGTGTGTTTGATTTTCAAAGTGAAATTGAGTTAACACATGCTTTACAGAGAACACACAAATATTAAAAAATCATTTTATTATTGTTGTCATTATAAATTAATTATTTATTTATTGATGATATTATTATACTATTATTGTTTGATTTATCCCCCTATTCATCCTCCATTATTTTTGCAAACATAATAAAAAAACTCAGTTTTCACAGTTTTATATTTATTTAAAAGAACGGTTTAAAAAGGCTTTTTTATTGTATTCATTTACAAATCAAATAAAAAAATCTATCAAACCATTGTAGATTTTCATAGGTTTTCGTAGCCAGCACTACCATTTATGCTGGTGCATTTTGTCCGTTCCAAATTGTTCACAAAGCTTCTGATACATATTATGTATTGAGAAAATGTCATTAAGTGTCATGATGCTAGATGATTTTAGTATTGCCCACCTTTACATAAATTCTTTTTTTTTTTTTCTAGGCTTCGCTTTACCTCATGTGAGTATTTCACAATGAATGGACCAATAGAAATGGTCCAAAATGACTTGGACAAACTTACATTAATTTTTATACAATGTTAAGACTGTTTTGTCGCCTTTTTTGGTGATGGTGGCAGAAAACAAACACGCATACATTTAGGCCCAATCCCATTTCTCATTTTTACCCCTACCCCTTGTTTTCGAGCGTCATCTTGCCGCTTGGAACTGAGTTACAAGGGATAGTGGTTGAAATCTTCTCTACGAAATGGGACCCTCAAATAAAAAGAGCATTACTTCATTAACAGCTACCAGCGCTGCTCTGTAGGCGACCCTGCCAGTCTGCAGTGACAGCAGAGGAGGGTAAAGTTCAGCTCCTCACTGCTGGGCGTTAGTTACATTTAGGGAATCATATGCCTTCAAAGAGGGATAATTATTTATTATCACCCACCCTTAATTCTTTAGTGACATGAACCTGAAGTCAGTTATTCACCAGCTTCTTGTTCAAGTTTTCCCTGTTCCACCTTGAATGGACAAGCAGTTCTGATACCTGAGGCGCCAGAATGGAACCGCTGCACATTTAAGGTGGTACAGGAAGTTTAGTTAGCTAGCTACCGAGACATCAGCTACTAATAGTGATTTTTATGCTTGTTATGACAAAAAGGACCATAATACATGAAATGACATTAAACTAAGATAATACAATGGTTACTTTTAATTGAGAAAATACTCACATTTGTGGGTTTCTTTGCTCTCTTTTGCAGCCATCTTACTGTTTTTTTTTTCCAATCTCACTCTCTTTTGGAGTGTGCCTCTGAAAAACCTCCGTTCGGAGGGCCATGTGGCTCTAACACTTCGCCCTACCCCTCTATCTCAACAAGAATCGGTACACCTACCCCTAGAGGTGAGCGCACAAAAGGTGGGGGTAAGGACTAAGTGGTAGGGGTGAGGGGTGAAATGGGATTGGACCTGAATGTCCAAAAGTTTGTAAACACCTGCTTGTCCAGTGTTTCTTCTGAAATAAAGGGTATTAATAGCTGCTGTAACAGCCTCTACTCTTCTGGGAATGCTTTACACTAGATGTTGGAACATTGCTGTGAGGATTTGATTGAGCATTAGTGAGGTCAGGTACTCATGTTAGATGGTCAGTTCTGGATCACTCCATCTCATCCCAAAGGTATTGGATGGAGCTCCATCACTCCAGAGAACACTGTTCCACTGCTCCACAGCCCAGTGCTGG